TTTGTTCAGATTGGCAAAACTAACTTAAATCTCAACTGGTATCACTCTCTCTCTCATTCCTGAGAGAGGTATTCCCTAAAAATAGACTCTCAAGGTATGAACAGTGCACTAAGAGGCCCAGGGTACCCTGAGAAGGTCAAGAGGTGACCCTGCTACAGTCTCTTACATCTGCTATTGTAAGAGGTGACCCAAGCAACATTTTTTTTCTGTACTGAAAGCACAGGTCAGGCCTGTATGGTAGCACACGCCTGAAATCCCAGGTAGATACCTGAGAGGCTGAGGGAAGAGAATCTTAAAGACAGCTCGAGCAATTTAGTGAGATCCTGTTTCAAAATACAATAAAGAGGGCTGGGGATGTAGCTAGTGGTAGTAAACTTGGTAGTATGTCCTAGGCCATAGATTCCTAGTACTGGGGAAAAAAAAAACCACAGGCCAAAATGCTCAAATACCAGGCAACAGGATGGAATGAGTTCCTATTTACCCACAAACAGAAAAGTGGCTATGATGATATTCATACTTACATTGAAAGCTCCCAGCAGAAACAACGTAGGTTGTAATCCAACTGAAAATATCAACCGTAGAATTGTGGAAGCAATTAAGGCCCGGATGCCATGGGGCTTGGGAAGAGCAATGACAATGGCCAGAGAGATGAGCATGGCTGTCCATAGGAGGCCTGACCAGTGTGGCTCTAATGTTCCTGGAAAGACAAAGCAGGGTTCTCACAGCTCTGCTTTTGTGCCATCTTAGGTGATAGATGAAGGCAGGTGTACATATTTTTTTCAGTTACTTCTCTGGCCTTCCTTGCCCCAACTCTCACCTCAAATTCTCTGCTCCAGACATAACCAGTGATGTCACTGTTTTCTGACTTCCAAGCCATCATGCATGTTTCTTCTACCTGGGAAATTCTCCCCTTCCTACAAACCTTAGGTTTAGAAAGACCACTAGGAAGTCTCCCTATCCCCTTCCTCCCCACAAAAACATGCCAGGTGGTCTATTCCTTCTCCCTGTTCCCGTGCTTTCTGTTCATCCCTATAGGAAGCTATTTTATAAAGGTCAGGTTACCTGTGTCTGTCTGTCTGTCTCTCAACTCCAAATTCTCTTTTGAGGGAAGTACTGCCTGGCCCCCAGTTGGGTCTCATCGCATGCTTGTTCATGCACTTGATCTTAGCCAAAAGGCCGAGAAGCAATACATGCTTGTTCAATAAACAAAACTCACACATGTGTCAGAACTCCCTCTTAGGGAAGAAGTCTCAATTTACTTTCTATTCAAAGTATGCACAGGAAAGCTGCAAGTCCCTTGCCTGAATCAGATTTGTTTAAACTGAAGGAGGAAGGCAACTTCCGTATCATGAGCATCATCCTCCAATTAGATCACGGCTGCAATCAAAGTACTTCTACCGGTTTTTGCCATCTCTTGCTATTGCAAGTTCTATTTAGAGTGTCCCACGAGATGGCTTGGTTATATAACATGAGCCAACATGGCTAAAAATATAGTTCTGTAAAACACTCATTAAAAAAAATAAAACACCCCTATTGCAAATGCTGTCACTTCTTGAGTCTCCTTTGGATGTAAACAAGAAGTACTACATGATTAAGTCCACTTATATAAAGGCATTTCACTTCTTCAGAATGGCTGGGAGAGCAGCACTGTCCAGGAGGAAGTGACTTGGCAGAGTACAGCTCCTCCACGAGAAGAGCCCATGTCTACCAAGATACATTTTCTCTCTAACACTGTTCCCCCTGACCCAGACACCTCTACCCATTTTGAAAGTCATCAAAAGGAAAGGCTGGTTAGAAATGGGCAAACAGGGTTGGGCATGGTGGTGCACACCTATAATCTTAGCACTCTGGGAGCTGAGGCAAGAAGATTACAAATTTGAGCTCAGCCTGGACAACTTCGTGACTTAGCAAGACCCTGTCTCAAAAAATAAAAAGTGTGGGGATGTAGCTTGGTGTGAAGGACCTGGTTTCAAATCCTAGTACAAGAAAAAAGAAAAAGGAAATGGGCATAAGGAGACAAATTTTTCAGATATTCAAAAGTGATTACCAGGGCCTACGTGTCACTTTGTGCACATTAACAACTGTTAGCCATCATATTAGCCCCTTTATGCTGATTATCATTTATTCAGTCCACTCAACCATCCTATGAGGTTGGACTAGTATGTCTACTTTACTCTGAAGGAAACTGAGTTTTGAGTAACCTATTTTTCCCAAGGTGATAGAGTAAACTGCTGGAGGTTACTAAAATTCCACACAATTTAACTGTAGAATTAGTGAATTTAGGCAATTTGTACAGACATGTAACTACCACATAAAACTGCTACCACAACCAAGATATAGAAATTATCACCCTAAAAAATTTCTTTGGGCTTCTCTGCAGTTGATGCCTTGCCCTATACTTATCTTCAGGTGACCACTCTCTGCTTTCTGTCACTATTGTCTTTCATTTTCTAGAGTTTCATAAAAAATGGAAAAATAGGGCTGGCGATTTAGCTCAGTGGTTCTGCCGCCTGCCTCAAAAGTGGAAGGTCCCAAGTTCGATCCCCAGTACCAAAAACAACAAAAAAAGGAAAAATAATCACATTAGTAGGTAATCTTTTGTGTTTGACTTCTTTCACCTAATACATTTCAAAGAATTATCTGGGTTATTATGTGTATCAGTATTTCACTCTTTTTACGGCTGAGTAACAATCCACAGTATAGATACACTGTAATGTATCCATTCAAAAAGTCAATGCATATTTGAGTTGTATCTAGTTTAGAGCTATTATGAATAATGCTACTAGGAATATTCAAGTACAAATCTTGGAGCAGAGATGTTTTTATTTCCTCTTGGACAAATATAAGGAAAGAGATTGTTGGGTCCTAAGTGTGTGTGTGTGTGTGTGTGTGTGTGTGTGTGTGTGTATATAACTTTATAAGACACTATATCATGCTGTTTTCCAAAGTGACTGTACCATCTTGCCTTCCCATTAACAGCATCCGACAGTACCACTGTTCCATACCATTACCAATACTTTTTTTTTTTTTTTGGTTTTTGAACCAGGGTCTTGCTGTGCAGCCCAGGCTAGCCCTGAACTCAATGTGTAGGCCAGGCTGGCCTCCAACTTGTGGCAATCCACCTGCCTCATCCTCCTAAGTGCTGAGATCACAGGTGTGAGCCACTATACCTGGCTGTCAATCTTTTAAAATCAGCCATTTTAGTAGGTTTGTAGTGACCTGTCATTGTTGCTTTAATGTGGACTTTATGGTTTAGATGAAAATGTCCCTCTAAAGTCTCACATTGAGAGCCAGGTCCCTGAGGGTGTGACTTGGAAGGGTATATTCGCATCCTTGGCTCCTTCCATCCCTCTGTGGTTCCTGGCCATCAGGTGGTGAACAGGTTTCCTCCACCATGCTATTTTGCCTTGGAGCACAGACCATGGACTGAATTCTCTGAAATCATGAGCCAAAATAAACCTTTCCTTGTTTAAGTTGGGAGTGTTGGGTATTGTGTCCCAGTGACAGGCAAGTGAATAATACATTCTATTACCCTGACAATGAGTGATGAACATCTTTTCATGTGCTTAATCTTCATTTATATTTATATTCCTCCCCTCCTTATTCTGGAATAAGCCTTTTATCAAATATATGCTTTGTGCATATTTGCTCCCAGCCTGGCTCACTTTTCACTTTCTTTAGGACTTGATCACTATTTTAAACTAACTCTTAATATCTCAGATTAATAAACATGACCAGTACAATTTATATACTCAAATCCTAAAAAGCCCAGTGTAGAATCTGCTGTCTCCCACTATGAAAGCATTGTTAAAAAACAGTGCTAGCTTCCAAAAAACCAACTCTCAAAAGACATCTTTGAGACAGCTGGAGAAATCTGAATTTGGAAGTCTATTACAGGATGTACTGTTAAGTTTTGTTAGATATGATAATGGCATAGTGATTTTACATATTTTAAAATATGCTTACAAGTTAGAGAGGCACACTGAAATGTTTATGGTCAAAAATAACAAGATGTCTGAACTTCTTCAAAATGTTTCAGAAAATACAATTGAGTGATACATAAACAAGACTGGCAAAATGCTAACTGTTAAAGCTGGACTGATAGTAACTGTTCATTATAATATATATATATATATATATGAAACTTTCAATAGTAAATAGTAATAATACATTTGCTTGAATCACCATGGCATGTTTACAAATCCAAAGCAATACGAACCTGTCCAAATGCCATGCTTTTGAAACACCCTATGTTAATCAGTTCTGAAATAAAGGGTAGGGGAAACGACACTTTTTAGAAAGGAGCTTTTAAGGCCACTGTTGTTCTTGGCAGCCACAAATCTTACAAGCCACAGAACCACATTACAATACACTATACCATCATTGTAACACACATAAGAGGACATTTTGGAAATCTTGTCTTTAGGATACAAGAAATCATAACCTCCACTGCTGGGGATTAAATGCAGGGAGTTGCACATGCTAGGCAAACACTCTTACCAATGAGCTGTATTCCCCAGTCCCTAACAAATACTGATCTCAAAAAACTTTCAGGTCACCAAACCAGATATTACTTCTACGCGGGGTTAATACAACACTCCCCCTGAAAATGGTTAGTGAAGAGTATAGCAAATGCCTTCAACAAAAGGAAAAGAAAAGCCCCCTGAGGGTGAATTGATGTGTCTGAAATTACTTCAGACACTATAATAAAAAGGTCAGACCACCCTTAGTTCAGATTGACCTCCCTTCTCTCCTAGGAGATCTGATTCTGCTTTCCCTTTAGCATAGGGGCATGAAGTTCTGCAGCCCATGATTCCTAAAGAGGGAGTTTTGACTCCCACAGTTAAGCGAGAGTTGATGCCATATTCAGAACTTTCCATTTAACAGGTATCTCTTTAACAGGTATCTCATCTGGTTGGTCTCAGACTGGGATGGGGAGGAAGTAGTATGCCACAGAGAATCCTGAATAGGTTGACAACTATTTTTCCTGAACTCTACAGGAATTTCTGAAGCCATACCAAACCTTACAACCACTGGCTCGACATAAACATCTAGTAAGGAGGAAAAGAACAGGAGTAACTGAAGTGGCCGTTCCAGAGGCAGAGTGGCACAGCCAGGCCCAGGGGGTGGGGAGCTATCAACTCATTATCCTCTGACCCTGTCCTAGATGCTGCCACAGATGACCGGAGGAGAAAATGGTCAAGGTGAATAATAAAAATGTTTTAAGTATTTTTCTTTTTAAATGCAAGGTAACTGAAAACACAACCAAAGTAGTGGCTAAATAATCTGCTGCTATAAGCATAGTGACTTCTCTGAAGTGAGAGGAGGCCTGGCCCTGTCACAGCTCACAGAACTCTTTTTTGACCCTTTATTGCTCACAGCTCTGATGATGGCAGCTCAGGGAAAGCATATATCCCCACAGAAAAAAACCTTGCAGCCCTATGTTCCTACCACACCTTTTCAGACATCAGTGTTTGTGTTTCCTGACATGGCATTTGGAAGAAAAGTCCCCCTGGACTTGTGTTTAGATGCATTATACAACATCCTATCACTTTCGAACTGGTCCTTATATGGCTGGGGATTTAGGCTCAGTGGTGCTGCGCCTGCCTCGAGTTGGTCCTTATATATATATTTTTTTAATCAGATACACATAGATGGCTCACATCTACTTCTGCATTATCAAGCCTATAAGTTGAGCCGGAAAGTTATTCCTGCACTCTTTTTGTGCCTTACTTTTGGGTTTCTTTATCCTATTAGGTTTTATACAAGGTAGCTAGCTCCTAGCAGGGTGTTAAATAGATGAATTGATGTGCTACAAAGCTCTGTTGAAAATTTTAGGTATGAAGTAGACATCCCAGGAGGCTGCAATGGAATCAGAAAAGGGCTGAAGGTTTAGCTTAGTGGCAGAGCATTTGCCTAGCATGCACGAGGCCCTGGATTTAATACCTACTTTTGCAAGAACAAAGCAAACAATCAATCAAAAAAACTAAGAAAGAAAAGGGGCCATAGATAACTAACAGCAAAGGATCTTTTAATGCCTGCCACCAGAATTCCATAAGTGTGAATGCTTCTCCAATGTCCATGGCAAATCAAGGGCCCTAACAGGAAAGTGTGCCTTTTGAACTGTCTGCTTTTTCTCAGCAGAATGTGCAGAATGCACATGTGGATGATGGGAAGGAGATGGTGGGTGGGGGAAATCTGAACAATGCAGGCAGCTCTGAGCAGACTAAACACTCAAGGATGTCCAGTCTGCAGTCATTCAGATCTTACCTCCCCTCTGACCTCTGGCAAAAGAAAAAATATTCCCGAGATTTTTGCAGTCTTTAGTCTGAAATCAGTACTAGAAGTATATACAACAGCCTGAGCATCAAAATATCTATGTGTTAGGGTTAGCTCTGCCACTAACTAGTTGCGTGACTTTGGCTAAAGCTCTCAACTTCTCTGACACATAGTTTCCCCACATATAAAACAAAGGGGCCAAGACGATTTCTCACAGATTTGACAGTTTCTCTTTCTCGCCTAGTTAAAAAATATATATTGATGCAAAAACAAAATTATTTTATACAAAACCAAAATTATTTTAAGTTAAATTTAAAACTAAATCTGGATAAAAGCTATAATCTTATCATGTGTGATAATGGATAAGTGGGATCCTAAATATGGCACCAATACTTCCAAGGACAGTAGTTAAGATGCCAGTCATAGCCTTCCTGCTGCGTCTAGTTGTTTTCTTGAAATGAGAGATATAGGTACCTCCTCGCACTCCTTTAAATGGGTAGAAAAACGCCACAAGTAGATTCATCAGTACTGCGAGGTTAAATGAAATGCTGCTCCAGAAAGACATGTTGCGGGCACACCAGTACAGGACGGGCTGGGCTGTGGAAAGAGAGAAGAGCCATGTGAGAGTGGAGGCCATGTGTCACAACACTGGAATTCAGCACGGCCCTTCCTCCTGCTTGGGCCCCACAAGTCCCCTTTTGTTCTTGGTTTTCACAACAACAGTAAAAATGATCACTTGTTCTGAAGTTGGCACATGCTGATGTTGAATTGGTTCATTTCTGTTTGGAACAGAAGATACACTGGGAGACAAGGAAGAAGAGAAGAAAAATTGGAACATCTAAAATCCCTGCATGCCCCAGTCAATGCCACCAGTTATCGAATCCAAGGGTTACTCAGAGTTCATACACTGAGTTCCTGGTCCAGATGATGCTCAGACCCAAGAATTCAATGAGATTTTTAGAAATGTCAGGGAGACACAACAATCAGAGTTGGCCCAGCTGGGCCTCAGACTAGGACTGATACCATTCCCACATTCCTCCCTGACTCAAAATGGTCCACTAACTCACTGGGGCCCAGAGTAAGACAATGGTTCCTTTCCCAACATCAAGTCATTTGTCATCTCCTTGAAGTCTGACAGTCACTCTCAGGAGCAAGGAATTAGGAGTACAAGTGGCTGACTGGGTGGTCAGTAATGGAGTTCACATTTCCAAAGGCTCTAAGTAAGAAAAAATATAGTACTAGAACATCACAAAGGGGCACCTTTGATATGTTCACCTTCTTAGTCCATTGTTTTTCACAGGTGATACCATATTAGCCAGGCATCCTCGTTCTCAGAACAGGAAACCTCTGGCTTTGCTGGGGTGCACTGGTGCCTCCTTTCCTTCTGAACTTTTTCAGGAGTGTCTTGGGATGATACCCAAAAATAGATGTACTAGGAATAATTTCAGTGTCTACACCAGAGGTAGTTTCCAAAAGAGAGTCTCATTCAACATATCCCCACACACACACAACCCAGAGAAAAGCATGGATCTCTGTCACGTATTTTTTCCCTAGTGAAGTCATCATTTAACTTCAAGACAGCAGCCAGTAAAGTCTAATAGCCCTATAATGATGCCCATAGTAGCAGCCAAGTCTTTGGAAGCATCCATCCAAAACAAGGTTATGGTACAATTTAATAGATTCCTGGCTAATTTAATAATTGTTTGTATCATGTTTGTACTTGGTAACAGACAAAATTTCCAAACTGTATAGTTGTGCAGCTAAGAGCAATGATCTAGTTTAAAATCGCTCATTTTATAAAAGAGGGAAACTGAGGCCTGGCAATAGGTAGAAGCTGTGGCAACCTCATTTCCCAAGGAAAGGCTCCTCTGTGGTGACTGGGCTAAAAATAAGTGGCTTGTGGCACCATTCAACAGAGGGGCTGCCCAGGATCCAGTTGCATGCCAGGTAACGATTTACTTTTTTAGTAAGTTAATTGTTGAAGCAAATTTAAGGTGAGAAATCATCTGCTCTGGAAACATCTACTGATATTTCTTCCGGGATCGAATACCATTTCTGATCTGGATATGAAATCTCCAGAAGAGCACAGGAAAGATGAATGGCAAAGAGTTAGTAACTGATGAAGCTAAGGGACAGGTACTTGGGAACTGATAGTATCCTCTCCATGCTTATGTACGTATGTATCAAAAGCTCATAAGGAGAAGACGGAAAAAAATAAAAGGAGCTGGCAAAGCTCAGTGATGGTCTGTGCAAGCCAGCACCATCTTCCGGGAGAGCTCAACATCAACTCTGAATAATATATGATTGCAATAAATGGTCTTCAACTAGGGCTGACAGTTCACAGATAAATCTTATTTTTATAAACCTAGAGTTCTATCTACTTATGGTGTGCTATCATTCTGAATCTGAACAAACATTCAGTCCTTTAAACCAAATGGGCATTTATTCAGGTACAAGAAGACACTCAGGAATTCATCTTGATATGCAATGTCTTGCATTTCCTGTGGCACATGGAACTGTGTCCCATCCACTCTTCTAGACTCTTCTCCCACTTCCCTTCCTCATGCACTCTGCCTCTGCATTCCAGTCAAGTGGTGGGCCTGTGTACACATGCCTCTTCTGGCCTCTGAGCACTTCCTCTGTGGCAACTGAAAAATTCATTCATGTAGTCTCTGATACACCTCCCTTCAACTAGTGAAGCATAATTCTTTTCCTCTTGAGTGTGGGCTGTACCAGCAACTTCCTTCTAATAAACTGAATGCAATACAACTGGAGGCATGTGATTTCCAAGAGTAGGTCATAAAAGGCACTGCTGCTTCCTCCTTGCTCGCTCTCTCTCTTCAGTCATTTGCTCTGAGGAAAACAACTGCTATGTCATGAAGATACTCAAGCAGACCCATGGAGAGGTCCAAATAAAGAGAAACGAGTTTCTGCCCACAGCCACATGAGACAGCTAAGAAGCGGACCCCTCAGGTCCAGGCAAATGTTCAGATGATGTGAAGCCTGGTTGGCGTCTCAGCTGCAACCTAATGAAAGACTCTGAACCAGAACCATCCCCCTAAGCCATTCCCGAATTCCTGATCCCCAAACAGTGAGAAAACCAATATTCATTGTTTTAAGCCTTTAAATTTTGGGGATTAATCTGTTATATGGTAATAAAAAGCAACTAATATACCTGGTAGGCAAAATAATATCCACCCCAAATGTCCACATCCTAATTGTTAGAGCCTGTGAATGTGTTATCTTACAGAGAAAGGGGGACTTATAAGTCCTTGAAGTGAAACAAGGACATGAGAGACTCAGAGTCAGTGAAGCTGCATGAGAAATGCTCAGTGGACCTTGCTGGCCTGGAGGATGGAGGATGGGCCAGGAGTCCAGGATTTCAGTCAACCTTGAGAAGCACTTTCTGTCAACACCCTGCTTTTAGCCCAGTGAAAACCTTTTGAGACTTCTGACCTCCAGAATTGTAAGTTCATACGTTCTTGTAGTTGTAACCTTCAGTGTTGTGATAATTTGTTACAGGAACATGAGGAAACTGGTACACATTCACTTGCCCCAATCTCTCTACTTGGATCAATCCAAGTTTTACCTACACTCCTGGATGCTATTTCTATCCCACCTTTTTTCTGAAGTCTTCCTTTCTCATACTTCCACAACCTGTCATTGCCTGATTATAGGCCTCATCATAATCAGCTTGATATTGCCTCTGTTGGGTGCCCCTTCAGATGGGAAATTCCTGCAGGAAGGAGACACAGCTTTCACACTGTTGAACTCCCCACTATACCCTGCAGGGTATTTTCTACTAATTAGGGCTAAAATTTGACTAGATCAATATACCTGTCACATTCCAGCAAAAAGGTAGAGTTCCAAGACCTCAGATAGGTAGGACCATTTAAATAACTACACCCAGGGGACCTCTTGGTAACAATCTTTCCTAGTTGTTTGCTTTAAAAAACTGGGCTTTTCTGGATGACATGGACTCCACAGATACTTGCATAAGCAGAATTTCCCAGTTCCACTTCCATGAGTGTGATAACCATAAGGGAAAATATCAAGAGAAAAAAAAATCATCATGTACAATTCTACCTCGGTTTTCCCTTTCACTCCCTGCTAGTTGTCACAGCCCAGTCATCCCTTCACCAGAACCATGATCTTCAGAAGATGGCAGGCAGAGCGGGATGGTCAGAAGGAGGATGTTAATGCATAAGGGGTGTGTGTCTGTGTGTGTGTGGGTGTGTGTGTGTGTGTGTGTGTAATGCAGGTACGTATGCATGTGGGTGTGAGCTGTAGAAGGCAGGGGAGAGGGATTCTGGAAAGCAAAGCAACTGAGTTTTTAATTCCTGTAAAAGAAAATATTAAGCAACATTAGGGTCAGACAGATCTCTCTTTGAGTGAGTCCTAGCTACAGATTTCTCAAAACACAGGTGATCTTCAATGATACATTCAGGAAAAGGTGAAGCAGCTACATGAATAAGAGTAAAATATTTTCTGCAGACTTATTAGAAGAGAAACAAGCCACTTAGAAGGGGAAAATGTATTTTACTTTAACGGAACTTCTAATGAGTACATTTCTTCCCTCCCTAAATAGCCAAGTCATGCTTAATTCAGTTATTATTTTCAAGTTCTCTCTTACCAGCAGATAGCTTTGAAGCTAATTAAAATCTTTCAGTTGACAACCATAGTTGTGTTTAAGCTTCATGGAAACAAAAACTGTTTTTTGACACATAAGGGAATGCATGAGCTACAGTGCATTATAAATTCTGCAGTAATTAGATGACCATTCTAGAAAAGTTGTATCAATGAGGTTATATCAGGTGAGGGCCTGGGAGCAGTTTAGTCACCAGCCTGGGAACACAGATCCAGCAAGTATCAGAAGTAGAATGGAACTCACATTCTCCCTCTTAGGGATGAGTTCCCCCTACCATCCCACGCTGGAGACAGCATCTCAAAAAGAGGGACAAGACATCTCACCAGAAAAGGTGAAAAACCTTCTTGTTGGTCCCTCAGCCTTTTGCAGAGACTATAAAATGCATATATTATATATGTGTTTGGTAACACAATTCTGAGAGAAGAAATATATCTGACCTGTCTCAGTAGACACTTACTGTACATTGATAAAAGGTAAAACTGAAGTTAATTAGAACAGGATTATCCCCTAAGGCTGCAATTACAGAATAGCCCAACAAGGAACAAAAGCAACGAATAAGAAGTTTTTCCCTCTCTGTAACGTTAATGCTGGAAATCTGAGTATGGGAGGGGTGGGGTCCATGTCTGACTCATTTTGGTGATGGTGGTGGTGCTATGTAGGAGTTCCAATGTTCACAGTGATGCTTGACCTGAAAGTCTTAAGGAATCAACAGTGGTATGTGAAGATACACTGACCCTGGGTAGATCCCACCTTATTGAGGACTTTACCAAGGAGAATGTGTATGATGGCCTGCTGAAGGTCTACATTCCCTCTCTGTAGACATGAGACAAGGATCTGGTGAAGGATAGATTTGGCTCAGCAAGATATTTCAGAATGGTTTGAAGATGCCCCTGGAGATGGGTACAAATGGAGTAGGGGTATAGGTGATGGGAAAAGAGCCTTTGGGGGTCCCACTGAGGGGCTGCACAGCCCTCTCTGTGAATCTAGGGATATGGTGAGGTGAGGAGAAAAGCAAGGAAAAGACACATGGTATGGGAGGCAGGTCTGGTCCTGCTCAGATTGACAGGGATCAAGGAGAGGATGAAAGCTCCCAGAGAGGGCCTCAAATACAGCGCTCCCCTGTTCCATCTGCACCCCACAGAAAGAGCCTAAAACATCACAGCTAGAGCTGGACTCATGAGTTCCAAATAAAAAAACTCAGCTCCTGACTGACAGAAATGAAGCAGGATCCCTTTTAAGTTGGTTACAACTGCTGGTCCCAAGCGTACTTTTGGTGCTGAAGGATTACATTAAAATCCTAATGAAAACCAGCAGCAGAGAAGCCCTCTGGGGAAGCCCTATAAACATGTCTTAGACAAGTAATTTCAACCTGTCTTGGCTGGGTTTCTCAACGGGACTCACTGGTGAGCAACAATGCATCTTACTTGGCAAATGATTCCACCACCCGTAATATGATTTAGAGTGTCAAACCTGAGCTGCTCTGTAAGAGGGAAAGCACCAGAGTCTCCCAAGCAGGTGTGCTAGTAAATGAGCAATCATGCTGTCTGCATTTCCTGCCCAAGTCAACCATCCTGTGAGCTCAAAGGCCTGCTCCCCACACCCTTGATTTTTTCTATATGAAGATACCAAAAAAGGCATCCTAACTCACAGAGCTACCAGTCAATCAAGTCAAGTGCTGCATGAAGGAAGCCTTTTCAGAGAAGTTGCTACCCTGGGGGTGGGGACTTATTACTACTACTGTACTTCTGGCTTCCTGGTAGTCACAGGTAGAAAGTATCACCAATTACACCCACAATACTTCTGCTCAGAGAGAAATGCACCACCAAGCTCAGATTGGTGAAAACCCAGAACTGCAATTCTCTGTAGCACAGTCAGTGTGCTGTGACCTACCTCGTAGCTTCTTCTGCCAATTCATTTCATTGAAGAGGTCTTCAGAGCGCAGAAAGAAGTCATTGATCTTGCTGCCTTGCTCGTCCCTCTCTGTTGTGTAGTATATTCGTAATTTGGACTCCTTGGTTAGAAATTCACATATGCTTGGCACTGGGAAGACAATCTGTTCCATTGTTCGGTCTAATCTGACAATCTAGAGTGGAAAATGGGTGAGGTCAAGGAGGTCTTCAAAACCTTTCATGAAACCTATTTATTATTAGTCCTCGGGTTGGCACTTAAGATTCAGAATGCTATAAATTTCTCTGACTTTATAACCCCAGACTGGCAGTGTGTCTCAGATTTATAAAACAAAACAAAACATAGTTTTAGAAAGTCTGTGATGCTGGACCCCAATCATTTGAATGTGACCAACTTCTATCTGGAACTACTCACACTGTGTTTTGGTGCATACTCAGATGAAGCTGGTACAGTCTGACAGAACCCTCTGAAGTGATGGGGCAGTTCTGTATCTGTGTTGTCCAGGAGGACACAGGCAGCCATGGAGCCTTAGCACGTGTGTTTAATGCAACCGAGGAACAGCATACATTTAATTTTATTTAATTTTAAACAGTTATGTACAGCCAGTGTCTATCATACTGGATAGTGTAATGTGAGGCCATAGTGGAAACCACCTAAGATCCTTTCTCAGGAAGAAAAATTGGGTTATTTTTCCTAGATGGGATCTTTATTAAGAGACTTTTGGTTTACATACAGTTGCTGACCTCCTACCTTTTACTTCTCATAGCATCCAAAATGTAGGACATATGAACTAATACGACCATATGACTCTGGGATGGTCTCATTGTTCTTTAAAATAGCTTTGTCGGGCTTCTAAGCCCCATAGATTTCCTCCATGACTGTCATGCTCAACCTCCAGAGAGGAGGTAGTCTAGTCTGGATTGTTTAGATTCTAGGATACTATACTGAGTCACAGACCCGGGGGTTGTTCAAAAGGGGCACAGGCTGCAGGCAGTATAATAAAGGTATGGCCCATCTTTATTCTTCCTCTCCAGAAACTGGAAAGGTCAAGTGAGGCTCAGAGCCAGTGGCCTCTACAAGCAGGGGTGGTTCTAACTCAGTACCTTTATTCCCTGATTCAGCAAGAGAAGTGATTCAAGCCACACTGTAGTGGAAAACTAAATTCTGAGGGACATGGTGTTTATTTAGACCAGTGGCTCCCAAATCTAGTAGGAGTTCAGGTTTTAAGAGGTTTCATCATTATCCTGATGTTGGTCCATTATCTAACCAGTTCAACACTGGAATTTTGGTGTGGGGGTTAGTGACCAAAGTTTGCCCATTACCCAGCTCTATAGGTGACCTTATACACACAGGCTCAGGGACCAACTCTTCTCAACTGCTATCAAGACCCTGCCTGTGTCACACAGCCAAGCTGGCAGGGATCAGTCCTTCCTTCTACTACTGAAGGAACACAAGCAGAGATGTGTATCTGGGCTCAAGAGGGAAAGGAAAATATGAGAAGGCCTTTGGGCCAGAGCTGACTTCAGATCCTGGAGTTACCCAGAGTGAAAACAGTGGGGCTGTGAGGAGAGCCCCAAGAAGCTGGAGGGCCCTGACCACACAGATAACTCCACAGGGACCTGAAGATCTATCTATATCTCTTCTAGCAGACTTAGACGCAAGGGTTAAGAAAACATACTCTAGTACTTTTCCCACCTCTAATGGGCTGAGTGACCCTTTTAACCTGACCAGGCTTTAGTCTTCCTCCCAGTGAGCCAAGAGGCTCAATGAGATGATCTTCAAGGTTTTGTTCTCCTCTGACATTCTATACCACCAACATCTAATGTGTACCTTCTAAGGGCTCCAGAAGACAGACCTGGTGCTTTGGCTAAACTTCTGGCCACTAACAATAAAATAAGAACACTTCTTGT